TTTCTTCATGGGCTGATAAACACTGAGTTAGGGGTGATAAACGCTGTGTTATCAACTGCTTGCTGGGCTTATCAGGAGGTGGGGAACCCCTCCCTAATCAGAACATCCTGCCCAGGCCTGGCTGTACCCCCCTTCACCTCAGCACTGTGAAAGGGAAAGGAGGGCTGCTCTAGCACTCCCCAGCTTCTAGCCTGAGCTACCGCAGGCATGTGCCAGCATTTCGGGCACGTCTGTGCAGTTACAAACCAGTTCAGCCGAGCCAGGTTAGATTAATCTGCAAAGACTGAATCAATTCAGGCTCAGGCTTTTTGAATGTCTGTCCCTAGTCTTGCTGTTAGGCCAAAGTTGTGCAGAAAACCTTGTGTAGAAAGCACAGAACTCTCATTATTAGAGGATGAACCATCCAGTTGCTGTCCTAAAATCAAATCTGTTTGGAATCCTATTCGTCCATGTTTAATTTAGAGAAAAGTAAATTAGGGGAGACACTATACTTTAGAAAGTTATTATGGTACGTTGCAGTGTGATGGTGATAATGGCAAAATCCTGTTGTTTGACTACAGATTGACCACAGAAGATAAAACATACAAGTATTTTTAGCAAAAAGGGACACTGACATAATTCAATGCCTTATGCTATCAAAAAATGTGTCTGATTTTCACTTTTACAGAGCAATTTTCAAGATTACTTAGGTATACACAGTAGCATTAGTTTAACCTATATAGCCAGTGCTTAGAATTGCACATCATTCTCTTGAAAAGTCTTGTATGATGAGCCCATTAATTAGAGGAAATTAGGTATATAATATCTGTGACAATAATGGATACCACTGTTTCTTGATGATTAATACTGGCATGGGTTTCAAAATATAAGAGCATTTTCAGCTCAATGCTGCCCTAACAGACAGCTTCTGTGTGGGCAACTCTTCTGAATTGGAAAGAAGAAATGAGAATTAAATATGTAGGGCAGTTTACAATAGTCTGAAATGAGAAACCTGGTATTTGTTTGGTTTCTCAGGTAACAATTGTTTCAAGAGCATTAGGATCAAAGAAGAGAGTTCAAGCAAATAAAACTGTGGCAAAGTGGGACTCCCCACCTAGCCACAGTGCTAAGTTCCCCACTTGCCTTTGGGCATGCCCCCCACCTGACTCGCCTGCCATGCCTTGTTTTTAATTAATTAAGATGTTAATTAAGGTGCGAGGCTGCCCATTTTATGCCCTGATGCTAGGGGGCGCTATCTGCTGCTCTGAACCTCCCCTACATGGCAGCCCATGCCTCGCAGATGGCATGCAGATGTTGATCTCACCAGCCACACACTGGGCCCCAGAATCCTCCAGTTCAGACCCTTTAAGATCCCTCCATTCCAGCGGCATACCCCACCTTCATTCTGGCTGCCTAGCTCCCTGAAACCATTTCCCCTCTCAGGCATGGTTCCCCCAGGATCTTTGGCCACACAGGCCCTAGCCTTACCTCCAAGACCAGTTGGGACCCCAGACCCTAGCTTTGGGCATCCCTTGCGGTGGGCCCCTGGATTTTTTGACCGTTCTGGTCCTGGCCCCAGGATTGAACAGTTGAGGGTATTCTATCTCAGGCCTCTGCCACTAGCCCCCTCACTCTCTTGGGTCCACCTTCTTGCCCCTACTAGGGGTTAACCCACCCGGTGGTGGGAGCTGGGGTAACTTACACCATGACTGGTGTTCCAGGGTCTCACAGGGCCTCTCATTCCCCCCCAGAGCAGCATGTCATTTTGCTCTCTATATTCTGCCCACCTTCACTTGGGGCTCCACACTGCCCCCTTCACTCAGGGCTACTCATCTCTGCCCCCTTCACTTGAGGCTTCTCATCACTGCCCCCTCACTTGGGGCCATGGGGCTTCCCTCCCTGGTGGGCTCAGGTGGCCGTAGCCGTGCCTGGCCCCCACTCTCTTTCCTCGGGGTCTTGCACCCCACAGGCTCAGGTGGCTGCAGCAGTGCCTGGCCCCCACTCTCCCTCCTCAGGGTTTCTCGGGGGTCTCGCACCCCACAGAGGGCTCAAGTGACTGCAGCCATGTCTGGCCCCAACTCTCCCTGATGTAACGTAAACCCACCCAAACATGAGGACTAGGGTTAAGGCACTCCTTCTTGCCTTTTACCAGGGTGATCACTGGCCTGGCATTTCCTGGGGGTTCCCACACCACTGAGAGCCCCAGCAGGCCACCCACTCCCAGCAGGATGCCGTTTTAGGTCATGCCCAGGACCAGAAGCCTCCTAACAGCTCTTCCCTTACCTCCTAGATGATACAAGCAGCCTTGCAGCCAGGCAATGTTGCTGCCTCCCCTCTAGCAGTGAACTGCCCTGTTTATATGGGTGGCCAGAGCTCTAAAATGGCTGCCACAATTAAGCATCTGCTGGCCACTTGGCCCCAGTCTTAAAGTGGCAGGCACCAACAGTGCCCTGGCACACACCTTCCCCCTTTAAATGGTACATGGGAGATGTTTCCCCTGCTGTTCCTCCAAACAGGCTCCCCTGAGAGCCTGTGAGAGCCCTAAAGTGGCAAGCAACCCAAAGGTGCTCCGCCACAAAAATATGTAAAAATTTTGAGCTAAATTAGTTTAAAGCTTAAATTCTTGTAGTAATGTTCAAGTTGTCTTAAAATAAAATCTATTATAGGAGTTCCTAGGTTAGGACTGAGGTCTCCCTATATGAACGCTCACTGGGCACACAAAGAGCATCCACCTGATTTAAGAAACAGAAGCAGAAGTGAATGTAAAACAATAGCAGGAAAGGGGAGAGGAAATACAAAGATAACAGGAGGCAGGTTATATTGGCTACCTATTGGAAAACATGATAATTCCAAAATGTTATCATACTGTCCTAGGAGAATAAAAATGGAGGCGCCAGAATGGCTTCCTATGGCGGGACCCAAGGCAGGGGCGACATGCCTGAGGAAAGGGAAAAAGAGCCCTGAAAAGAAGAAATACTTACCTCCCACAGGGAAGAGCGAGCCACGCTGAGAAGGGCCACTGGAGCAGTTTATCAGCTGCTTTTATTGCCAACTGGTGGCGGCACCGGCAAATGACATCATAAAAAACTGCCACCCAGTGAATTTAAAAGCTGGCGCCAGGGAAATGGCAAGAGAAGTGGCAGGGACACTGGAGGGTGAGGTTGCTCCCCAGCCAATGTCCCAGGGAGGTTGGCAGCCCCGGTAGGGGCGAGACAGGGATCCCTTGACAGAGAGGCCCAGCACCCTGATCAGCGGGACTGCCAAGCAAAAGAGGGACAACGTTGGGGGATCGGAGAAGGTCAAAGACAGCAGATCCGTGAGTGGGGTGGGCAGAAGCCCACACCCAGACCCCTTCGTTGTTTTTTTCTTTTCTTTTTTTCCTCTTTTTTTTGACCTACTCTGTTTTGGAGGGTGCACGGAATGGTGACCAAGGAATGACCCTCAGCGGGTGCAGGGCCATGGAGGAAGATTGAGGCAAGATTGGGCAGAAGCCTCGGAGGAGGGACAGGTGCAAAGGTGGAGACAATTGTACGCCCCGTGATTGCTGGGAATAGGCGAGCTGAGGAGCAAGCCAAAGATCCACCATCCAGTGGCCCTGGGGGTTGGTGCGTGGCTGGGGTGTAGGGGAGTTGGAGCCCCAAGAATGTCTCTGACAGGTAGTACCAAGAGTAGCGGGAAAACCCGAGAGGGAGCCTCACTACTGGAACATAGAAGACCAAACCATGGCAGGTGACTGTCAGGGCTCCCTTCAGGGTGGAATGCAACCCAACACGTAAGTTCTGGGGACACACCCCTCAGGCGGGGTCGGGTGAATGCTTGGAGGCCGCCTGTGGTTGTCTATACAAAGCTTGATGGGGGCACATAAATATATAGATCTGTACACACACATACACATATTTGCTGTACATATTTAACAGAAACAAGCATAATCATTAACTACCAGTCTTTCACTTCTGTAGAGCCATTACCGGCAGAATTGTTGTAGATCCCCTATTATATAACTTAGATATAATTTTGAACATTAATTACATTAAGAAACAAGTACAATATTCTCAGCAGGCTAATAAGAAAGGATAATGATTTGAATTGTGTGTACCATTATCAGTGCTATCATGCTTACACAACACAAATCCTTCAGCTGCTGGCCTGCATGCTCTGAAACTCAGCTCTTGTATATGTTTGCTCCTGATTCTCTAGAGGCAATTAACTAGTTTGTTTCAGTGAAACCCATAAATAAATAAATTTATAAATTTATTTATGGGTTTCACTGAAACAAATTACCTACTTGCTTCTACAGCCAGATCATCTAGATGATGACATTTTAAAGTAGCATTTTGGTATGAGGGATTTGAGTATCACACATTGGTATAACAATATAACATGCAAGCTCAATTCCAAACTGGCACAGATTTCAAATATATTCATTTATATTTTAAAATATATTACTATATGGCCAGAGGAAAAAGGGGATGTATCAATGGGCAGTATGCTCAAGCACAGAGTGAGAACATGGAACAGCTGCTGTAAGAGATGACAGGCAGCAATCATGGACTCTATCAGTCAAGCCAGTCAGAAATTTTTACTGAAATAATTTTCAAACCAAAAAAGTGACAATTCATCATAATTCCATTCCCATGTGAAAGGGTTGTTTTCAACCAATTTCAAGTTTTAAAAAAAATTTGGGGAAAAAAAAGTTTCAAAACTGCCACAGCATTCCCACCTGGACATTTTCAAAATGAAAAGTTCCTTATTTTTCAGCTTAAAACAGTTTTTTAAAATTTTCATTTGCATTCCATAAATAAAATCAAATAAAAAGCAAAACAATACATTCTGAAATTACCCAAACATAATGTTTTTATTGATCCAAACCTTTTTTCTCAAATTTCAAGATTTTGACTTATTGTCCTGATTTTCTTGCTCCAATCTAGTTAGGAAACTATGGTAGATCAGACCACTCCTTCTATTACTCTTGTGGTAAGACACAACTCATAAATTAAAGTACAAAAAATGTTTCTACTTACAATTTCACCCCTTGTGCCCTTTTCACCCCTAGGTCCCTGAAAAAAGAGGAACTATTAATACAGTACAGAGACAGTATTTTTGCTCCTCAATCTGTAAATACATATCTGTATTACTTTATTCACTTGAGTAGTCCCATTCATATCAACTGACTCAAATGCAGCACTAGGGCAATAATTTTGTTTCATAATTAGTTAAGAAATTATATTTGGGTCTCTCTCTCATCTTCAGCTACTTGTTTACCTCCCTTCCATATCATGCTTAATCCATGTTATGGACTGCACTTTGTATTATCTGCTGGTAAGAAAATCCACCTATCACATATTGTAGGTTTTTCCATATCCACTTTTATTGTTCTAGCTCAAGATATGGGAAATAATTGTACATTAGTACGCAAATTATCCATCTCTTTCTGCCTATTTTATGCTCTTGACTAATTCTGCATCTGTACTATGTCTCTAGAGATGATAATCTTCTAGCAATTAACCTAGTGAGCAAAGAATTTTGCATCTTGCTTCTTACTTGCCACCAGGGCTGAAAACGAGCTCTCAGCTATAATTTGCTATAATATGCTATCTGGTTCAGTCTGAAATTCATTAATAATCTTCATAGTGGTACACAAGTGTGAAAAGAAATTCTAGAGCAAGAGTCATCATCCTTCCTTTGAAGAAAGATGGAAAGAAATGAAACTACACTTATGGCGTGATACTTTCCACAATATGAAAAAGAATATTCTAACTGTACAGCAGTTTTTCTTTTCTCCTCTTACTCTTTGTTCTAGTCACATGCATGTAAAATACATATTAACTATTTACTGCTGTATAGTTACACTATTTTGCTGCTCCTTAATCTAGCTTCTCAGACATTCTTCTTCTTTCTCCAGCTCCTTTACAGCATATAAATGGGCTGAAGTAGCATAAAGAGGCCCTAAAGCCCCTTATCCGGTAGGGAGGGTTCTCCCAGACAAGTCTATCTTGAAAGACCACATTGCAAGCCCTGGAATAGAAAATGTGCTAGAGATGGAGATAGGATCAGAGTGACAGGTATAATGCTGAGGACCAGGAGGCTGTCTCCAGTGAGACAAGTCTCTAGGGTTACCTGAGCTTAACAGGCCTATCCAGTGCTCAGGCAGCCCAGGATCATAAGGAAAAAAAGGTGGCTTATAAGTATAGTGCTTCTTTACTGTGGACTGTACATTCTCTACTGCATCTGTCAGGATAAAAACAGACGTAGCCTGATGCATAAACATTTTCAGGACAGCACAAATGGTGAACAAATAGATGCCTCTACTCTTTGTCGTGCCACATTAGTGGCTGTGACAAATGTAGTATAAAACAGTGCTGCTTTATTGCAGCTGACCTCTATTTACCAGGGGTGTGTGAAGCAGTTCCTATTTAATTTGAATTCAGCCTGAATCAGGGACAGTGATTCAGTTAGTTGATTTGGATCACTGTCCCTGATTCCATTTGGCCAAATCCAAGTCTAAAGATTCGATGCTGATTCAGAGAATCAGCGGTTTGGACGTAGACACAGCTTTACATGTTTTTTCTACATACCTTGAAGTAGCAGGCACAGCTTGTAAACACTGCGATGCTGGGGCGCACGGAGCATCCCACAGGAGTGTGTGTGGTGGGGGGGCTCTCCATGGGCTGGATGGCAAACTTGGAAATGGAATGGGAGTACTTCTGGTCCACTTCTGGGTCTGCCAGGGAGCAAGCTGGGGGGCCCCCCACGCCCCTCCAGCTCAGTGTTTGGCCACAGGGGGACCCTGGGTGCCCCACCCAGATCCAGGAGGCACCAGTCGCTGAGCTGGGGGGTGCGGGGGGGGGGCCCTGGTGCATTCCCTGGTGGACCCAGAAGTGGACCGGAAGTGTTTCTGGTCCACTCCTGGGCCTGCTGCTGAGTGCGCTGGGGTGCCCCCCCCCGGTGCTTCTGTGAGATGCTCCATGTGCCCCAGTATTGCAGCATTCACAAGCCCCTGCTACCTACAGGTATGTAGAAAAAACATTTAAAGCTGTCTCTATGTCCAAATTGCAAAATCTTTCCGAATTTCTCTGAATTGATTCGGAGAGATTCAAGTGTTCTCTGATTCTATTTGGATTTGGAGATTCCGCCACCAAATTGGGCTGAGTCTGCCGAATCAAAACAGGAACCGAAGCTTTGCACAGCCCTACTATTCGCTCCATAGCAGAAGAGTGCGAGTACTCTCCGGCTGTCATGGGCAGATGCACCAGGGCCTTGAGGGACCCAATTCTGCACACTCCTAGGAATTCTCATGCAGAATCAGGCCCTCAAGCCCCAGGAACATGTGTCTGGCTTTTTTTGCTAGAGAGATGAATCCTGGGACTCTTAGAGCATCTCTCTTTAAGTGGAGAAAGTCAGGGTTCCCTCCTTACAGAAATCCATCCTGGTGCCCTGTGCCAGGACCCATGCATGTTCTTACACTGACCCATGCTTCATGCAGAGGCATGGGTCTACGCAGGTCCCAGCAGGAGGTGTGGTATGGTGCAGCATCCAGGGAATTTCTGGTGTGGGGAGTCCCCAGGTAAAGGGAATATGTTGTCTCTGTCTCACTGGAACAAGGGCCTAAGGTGAGACAACAGGCAACGTGTGTTTCACCCAGTAAAGCAGATTAACTGCGGTAGGATGTGTCCTGCCACAGGTGATATGCTTTGTTTGGTGATGTCTGTTTTTATCCTTAGAGCAGCTGCCCAGAATTTCACCCTCTAGGTTTGTCTGCAAGGATGCACACAGGAGAGGTGAGGCAAATCAAAGGTGTAAAGTCAGTGTGCATAACTTTAAAAACATCCACACATGGATTCTCTTATTCAGCAGCAAAACAGCCTTCAACTGCCATAGCTTAATCTTCACTGTACCAAAGTAAAGCCACTTTAATACACTTTAAAGTATGTATCTCATCTTCACACCTTAACTTGCTGAGTATATTCCTGTGTGCGTTGTATGAACAAAAAGAGCGGCCATTCGTTCAAGTGATTCTGCTTTATCTCTTCGTTTGTTTTGCTTATATTTGGATCACATAAGATAGTTTGCAGATACGGTGCAGTATGAAAAAGGTCTTGCTAGTTTCTGTTTACATTGAAAAAAATGTCGTAAGCCATATTTAAATACACAGATCAAACAAAGGCACATAACAAATAATGGAAAAGAAAAGGGAACCTTAGGACTTAAACATACCAGCCTGCCTGCTGGGCCAATTATACCTTCTTGACCAGTGGGCCCCATGGATCCCTGTAAGGAAACAAACAGACATTTACCACCTTATCATATTTCAAAATGAAGACATGGCCATGAAACGCAATGTCTTGATAGGGTAAGGTAAGATTGTTCAGTCTTTAAATTAATTATATCAGTTTCAATGTCACACTATGTCTTGGTGAATAATTATAGGGTTTTAGCTTCTCAACAACACACACAGCGGTAACAAAAAATATATATACATCACATCCTATTAATGGAGAGCACTGTTCTCAAGCATACCTTGCCCAGATGCTTCCACTTTCATGTGCTAACCATGGATGTGGGACAGTGAGACCACTATGGGGATGTCCCCTCAACTGGTTTCAAACATAGCAGAGACAGAGAGCTCAAGAGCAGCAGTGGAGTTGACCCTCAGGATAGAAAATGCATCACTTCTGGGTTTGGTATGTGGATGGCCAGGGCACAGTGGAAAACAAGGCTTACTTGGAGAACTGGTGATGTAGTGTAGACATACCCTGGATATCATGCATGTCTGCCAGTGTTGGTTTTCTGGATATTAGGTAATTAATACAATAAGTATTTCAATAATTAGTACTTATTTGCATCTGGAGAGCCTAGAGAGCTCTGTTTGGGAAGTCTGGAGTACTAAAAGCAATGGGTTTTGAAGACTTTTGTTTACCCAACCACCACATATTCTTTGTTTTGAACTACCACCAGCTACATTATTACCCACAAGTAGTCATTCCAGATCACCAATAAATGCTGCTCAGAGAAATATTCTACTCTGCTATTTATTTCTCTTTTTGTGCAAACAGCTCAGAACCATTGTTGTCTTGTACAGAGACAGCCAGAGAGAGAAAGCTATCAAAAATAAATTACTTGGGCTGATTCTCTCTGAAGCCAGCCAGCCAGACTTCCCTAGAAGTCATGGTGTGTATGACAACACTATTGGCAGGGAAGAGTATAGCTTTTTACAGTGAGATTTGTAGATTTGTGAACTGGCCATCTTTCAGTTCCTAGAGTCAGCACCTCCCTTTAACATGGCAGAGGAACATGAGAAACATATGAAAAGTGTTCACAGGTCATATAAAATTAGCTCATTTCGTTTAGCTCATTTAGTTTAGCTTTCAAATACAGTGCATTCTCCTTCAGAAAGAAGAACAAACTGCATTTGAGACCTGGTCAAAGCCTATCCTGAAGGGAAGCTACCTTAACTGGGACAAAAGGGAGCTTACTTTGTCAGATGGGGCCCCAGAACAGAGGAGAGAGCATATCTGTGTCTACTCAAGAGAATCACTTCCTTGGAAAACTAAGCACAAGTTTAATTAGCATTTAGATCAGGCAATGGAAATGTAAAAACATACTCATGTTGGGGAGGATGGGTGTAGGCTGAACCCCAGGCACTGAACTCAGTTAGTTGCTCAGTTCCCCCAACAATTCAGGTCCACTATTCCCCTCTGCCATCCTCGCAAGGTTTATAATCATAGCTATACAATCATTAATGAAATGCATTTATCTACACCTTTATTTGGTATATGTTAATGAAAGGGGTATATCATGAAGACCATCCCCCACAGCTATGTGAAGAATTTATGATAAACATTTAACAACTCTAAGTAGGAGGGGCTTTCAGAGGTTTGCAGTTAGGTTTTGACTCTCGACAATGAGTATTATTCCTTATGGTAACAGTTTCAGTTACTTTGTCTTCCTATAGTCAAACATTTGATCAAGTATTTCCCTGTTTAAATCAGCAAAAACACGGAATCTGACCTTGCGAGCCTGTTTCTATACAAGGCTACCCAGAGTTTGCACCAATCATTATATAATGGAAGATGTGTATGAGACAGACGCATTTATGCCAAGGCCTCTAATGTATTCCAAACATGCAGTTGACCCAATAAAAGATATCACCTGTTGAAATCCTTGCCTTTCACATATTTCGGGGACCATCATGGCTACAAAAAGCACTCACAGACTACCAGAAGAAGCCCAATTGACTCAGTGCAGTTAATTCATTAGAACTATGCTTTCTTCATTATAGCTTTGCTCTTTGAGGGTGATTTTACTCTGCTGATCAAGAGCACAGTTTTGCTGGTATAGCTATACCCCTATCCGGTGTATATTATCAGTATTCCTATACAGGTGAAGTGCTCTTAGTGAAGACTCACACTCAGAGTGGGTTATTAAACTACATTTCCAGTTTGCTAAGGATTAAAAAGGGATTTATCTGTCTCATTCAATTTCAATGAAGAGACTACTGACTGAGGGCAAGCCACTTACATGGCACTGTGGAAAACAATTTCATGGACTGAAATATAACACTTACAATTTGGCCAATAGGACCTTTAGGACCCAGAATCCCAGTCAAACCAATGTCTCCTGAAGGACCCTAAACATAAAATGAAATGTTATAAAAATGTAATGTTATTAAAAACGATGAAATTAAGTATGAATATTTGATAGGTTGCTACCTTTTAATTTATCTCAACTAAATCTACTGTAAGTAATTATTTTTTGCAAGAACAGTCTGGAAAGGGGAAGCCAGACATTTGCAGACAGTAATCAAAGTGAAAATATTAAACAAGCCGGTTCAGAATTCTACTTTGAACTCTCTTGGAACTGCCACACAACATTCGAATTCAAGCTTTCCAGTTGGTCTTGGGACATTTTTAAACAAATTATTGCTACAGCTGTCCTTGGCTTAGTGATCTTGTTTTGCATATTCCTTAAAATCAAAAACGAAAAAGTTGAATACATACTTTTGGACCTGGGAATCCTTGAAGCCCCATCAAACCTTGTTTTCCATGTTCCCCCTGTAAATTAGCAGACATGCTGGTTATTATTCCACGTTGCCAACCAAACTATTAGAAAACTTGCTTTGCACCATGTAGAGTGGATACTTACAGCCTGCCCTTTCAGCCCAGAATCTCCAGGTGGGCCTTGGTCACCTGGTGCCCCTGGAAGGCCTCTTTTACCTTGTTTCCCTGGATGACCTTGAAGCCCTTTCTCACCCTATAGAAAGGGAGACACCTTTTATTATCACTGCAGTAGAATATAGTATTTTACAATAGTTTCCCTATTGAAAGTAGATTAGTATTTATATATCAACAGCAACAGCTGCAATACACTTTTCATTACTTCTTTCAAACAAACAATTACACTGTATTTCACCACTGCATTTTCTTTAGGAATATTTCCAGGTAATTATTCCTGGGTGTATCTACATATGCCATGATAAACTCCAGAGTTTATCACAGTACCTTAATGGCACGCGTAGATGCCCAAACTGCTGCAGTTCAGGCTGCATGTGCAGATGCTGTGCTGTGATCACAGCAGTTTTAGCTGGGGTGGAGCAGCCCTGGGCTGGCAGCAGGCTCAAGGGGTAAGCCCGGGCTCCAAGAGGCAGCATTGGGCAGTGGAGGGGCTGGCTAAGGCATGAGAGTGCCCCAGTGTGCACAGCCCTGCGGCTAGGCAGCAAGCAGGGGTCTGGTTCCCTGCTGCTTGGGCTGATGAGGTGCAATGCACACCCAGGTCAGCATTTACATGTGTGCTTAGGCACTACCTTACTGTGGCAAAAATTAATTTGCTGTCATCTAATAGCATTGCACATGTAGACTATGATGCTTTATGTCACAGCAAGTTAGTTTACTGTGCAGTTAAGTTCCTGTGTAGATGTTCTCCTTTTGACTTAAATGCAAATCTTATACGACAGCAAAAGCACACCTTTGAGAATACGCTGTACACCCTTCCCCTCCCTTCTTTGTCTTTTTCTTGTCTTTTTAGAGTGCAGACTTTCTGGGTAGGGTCTGTTTAATCCCATATATATGTTCAGTGCTTAGATAAACAAGACCTAAGTTTTACTAAGGGATCTGGGTAGAGGTGTTAACAAGCAGCTTTTTGTACCTTGGGCAGCAGCAATGCTAGTGGCCACTATTTCTGTGTCCCCTCAAAGTTGGTACCCAGTTGCCCACTGAATAGAAATGCATGCTACCTTTCAAGACTGGACACTGTGTTTGAAAGTACTGCCATGAGGCATTAATGGATAGCTTAAAGGTCTAAATCGTTAAGACTGTACCTCAGTATAACCCACAAGTCTGCTATGTGTAGTTTGCCTGAGATCAATCTAAAGGATGTGGCCCTAAAACCTGTATTAATAATAGCTTAAAGTAGATGCATTTTGGATTGGGAAGCAGCACGCTTGTGCATGGGAACCAGTGCCTCCAAACCAATTTTCACTGTTTTTGTGAAATGTAAGCAATAAGGAAAGTCTCAAAACAAGCAGCATCTTACATTTTGTAATACCAGCCTTATTAGAATGCACATTGGTGTCCTATGCCTGAGTGGCCTGAAGATTAAGAAACATCAGTAATGTATTTGACAAACATATTCATGGTACCTTCAGTCCTGGTGCTCCAGTAGCACCTGGCAAGCCTGGAAATCCCTTTGGTCCCTGGGTTCCAGGGTACCCCGCCAGTCCTGGAACTCCTGGGCTTCCAGCGTTACCCTTTGTAAGCAAGCAGTAAGCAAGTATAATCAGATAGGCTAATGACACAGTTCTTGTTGTATGTGATTTTTGCTTTATTAAAACATAGGCAATCATTTTAATGGGTTCAGCCACTGCTATTTACAACTGTGTGTAAATTTGTATAAGCAAATTTGCAAATGCTCAGCTAAACCACATCTAGATTTATAACAGACTGATATAATTTTAGAAATAAATTTGTTCTTGCAACTAAAGCATTTTGTGATGAGATTGAATCTCCTGATAGTTACTCTGAGAATCACTTACCAAAGCCCCAGTAAGGCACAACATGAAACACAAGCAAGTCAATGGCACTTCCTAATAGTAGAAGGAGTCCATGTGTGAGGTCTGCAGCAGGATGGGGACCTCAGTTTGGATGTTGGTGTAGTATAAATTAAATAAAGAATCATTATCCATATCATTGTTTATATAAATGTATTTGGAAACTGTTTTACCAGAATATCAGTGGCTGCTTTTACTCTCCAAGGATGATAGGGTTCAAACACAATTGTTTACTTAAGATTTTGACCCATCTATTTGAAACTATTCCCACATCCCAGACTTAGGGGAGTCTGATCCAAACTTATTTTTTTCCTGACTACAGTCTAAAATATGCAGGATAAGGGGCTTAATCAGTGCTAATCATAGTGAATGACTACTTGGGCTTATTTGGGGATGACAAATGTACAATCGTTGCAAAGATAATGTTGTTTTCTTTTTAATTAGCTCTAAGAACTCAGAAGAACCTAAGTTTATAATGAGTTCATCCTGATGAAAACAAGATGTCAGCTTCACTCCTTGCAGCTGTGCTGAAAGGACTTTTGAACCCTGGAAGACTCATTTGTCAAGGAGAAAGAGCGCCACAAAATAAAACAAAATGACAGTACTTTTTTCATGGTGTCTTTCAGAACCATTCAAAATTCTACATGCCTATTTATAAATACCAGACATGCTCACAGTAATAGCATTATTGTGTATGTTCTCAAGGGATGTATAAAGAATAAGTTTACCACATGAAGGAAGACTGGGACCTTTGTTACGAAAATATCTCATTACTTCAGACTGGAAACAAGGGGAACCATTTTAAATATAAAAAACAAGTCCCTGTGTATATGAAGCTAAGCCAAAAGAACATGTACATAAATGTGAATGGAAATACATCCTCATCCACAGCTAGCATATACTGTGATGTCACTGGGGACATGGACACACGGCTTTGAAAGTGAAGCTTCTGCTCGGGAGTGTGCAGCAGCTGTTGCACTCTAATTGTTATGTGCGCATGAGCCTCTTGAGTTAACCCCCCCTTGCTGTGACCCTGGATGAAGCAGAGGTAAAGATGAAGCAGTTTCACTATGTTTGTATTCCTACAGGTTCATGACTACGTAAGTGTTGCAGCATAACAGCTCCTGCTCAGGAGCAGCAGTTCCCCCTTCCTCCACCCCCAGGAAACGCTTGTCCATGCCATTAGTGCCAAATGCATAATACATAGCTCGTCTCTTAGGTAGCTCCATTCATTGTTTATATTAACAAAGAAGGTGTCCCAGTGACCTTTCATATTAAACATGGTTCCATAGCTTTTACATACGTCCTTCTGGTTTGCAGCCTGCTGCACTGATATGCTTTTATAGTAAAAGTTCTGGTCTTTTTTATGATGTGATGCAACTAGCTCTTCTTAAGATTATTTCTTAAGTGTTTACGAATGATGTCAGTTGTATTATTGTTCATATGTAACATTTATAAATACTGGATGAATGTTGAATTTTGACTGAAAAGGCTAAACCAAAAAAGAAAAGCTGTCTAAGATGGTACACTCTCTATGTTCAACTCCAAAGAACTACAATAACAACTACTTGAAAGAAATCTTGAAACTCCACACTGTTCCTGCTGTAAAGATACAAAGCAAGATGTGGTATATAGCACTCACCTGAAGGCCAGGTTTCCCCTGTAGGCCAGGCTTCCCAGGATTTCCAGGAATGCCCTCTATTCCAGGGTATCCAGTTGCACCTTTCTGCCCAGGTGAGCCTGGTTTTCCCTTGGAACAAATTCAAATACAATATGAAACTAAGGAACCTATTCATATTCATTGTCCTAGAAACAGGATTTCAACAACAGTATGCCCCAATATACCACTTCCACCAACCTTTTAAAAAATGGGTTCTCAAGTTGGATGCCTGCACTGAGATATGGAGCACCTACTGATTTCAACTGGAATTGTGGCTTTACAAAATGTCTCAAAAATCAAGGATCCACAAGTCAGAGGCCATGTCTTAAAAAGTTCTGGAGCTACTGTACAATTGGGAAATTATTTAATTCAAGCAGGAATATGCTCAAAACCACTCAAGGCCTTCTTGTAAGAATGCACTTTTCTGGCTAATCTGAGGCTAAGCTTTCCCAGAAAGCTACCCAAACACCTTTGACTTCATGTTTACAAGATGACCTACTTTTAAACTGTAAGAGGTTGGCTAATGATGCTTAGAATTCATATAATTCTATATTCATATAGAATTCATATATTCATATTCACTTTCCAAGTGAATGCACGCACCAGAAATACAAAATATTCTTTCCAACTATAATCCCTCTGCTTCATCTAAAAATATGTAGTCAGCAATGCTCCTATAAAAATATAAACTATCTTCCATATAATTTTTTTATCATATTTAGTAATAGAAGAAACGTGTCACTTTAAGTGAACCCAAATGTTCTTTGAAGTGCTCCCACCATCCTCTCTTCTTTGCTTTTCCTTCCTTCCACCTACCTTTCCTCATATTCTCTCTGGTCTGCAATGTATATCTGTTCAGCCTTCCAGAGGATATTACTGAACTCTTATGACTGGCACAGAACATTGCGAGTCCTTTGAAGGGTATGTCCTCCACCCTGCCTAGAGTGCACCAGTTGTTGCCTGATTCTACAAGGAAGGCAAACTTCTGTGGTAATGAGAAATGTGGAGCTAGTAAAAGTTATTTAGAGCATGTGTTAGTGTTTTTATGCATTAATGGACCCAGAAATAATTTATACATTGTGGGCACATCTACACAAGATGCTTTACTGCACAGTAGTGTAGTTTATTGTGCAGTAAGCGTACACGTCTCTACGTGCACGTTTAGCATGCAGTAAATGATGCTACTTGCGAGTAAATTTGCTACTCGCGAATGCAAGTAGCATATTTACTCGCAAGTAGCTTCTGTGCAATAGTATACATGTAAGCACCAACTGTGAGCAAATTTGCTCCCAGTCAGCCCCACTACACAGCGGCCACACTGAGGCTAGCTCTAGGGCTCCAGTGCTGGGACAGTCCCCTGCCCCAGGTCTGGGCCAGGTCTATGCCTGCCCCAGCCTCAGGCTCTTAAAAGCATGCAGGCACTCAGAGTCCTGGGGCACAAGAAGGCAGCCTGAGACCACACCAGGCCCTTGTGTGCCCCTAGGCAGGATGCAGTGCCGCGCAGCTGCCAGGCCTGCACCATCCAGGCCTGCAGGGTGCTGTCAGGCCTGTCAGCATCCAGGCCCAGCTGTTATGCAGCTCCTGGCCACTGTGTCCAGCTCCATCTGCCTGCAGCCTATCCCTAGCATCCTGCCTGGAGCCTGCAGGTGCTATGGGGCATTGATTCGCTGCGCAGGTGCCAGTCCCTCACCATACCCCTGCATTGGGTGCTGCAGGCAGCTGGCCAAGCCCGGCAGCACAGGGAAAGCCATGCAGGAGCCCCAATGACCTCGCCATCACGGACGCCACACCCTGCCACCCGAGGCCCCAACTGGTCACAGGAGACTGGTGACCTCATGGCACTGTGGGGCAAGGTGGAGGTGCAGCAGCAGTTCATGCAGGGTGGGGGCTCCAACACCCATGTCTATGAGGGGCTGTCAGGCCAGATGTGGGAGCATGGGCAAAATTGGTCGGTGCAGCAGTGCCACATAAAGGTCAAGACGAGCACAGTGGGTTTCCATCTCCAACCACAACTGTCAGTTGGGGAGCGCCCACAAGACGATGCCCTTTATGAGGCAGTTGATAGAGATTCTTGCACCTCGGGACCCAGCCATGATGTGTACAGCAGCACGGGCAGTCTACCTGAGCCCCTGCCCCAGCCTGGCATCTGTGGTGACATGTTGCTGGAGGACACCCTTTCACTTTTGCCCCTGTTCCACTTTTGTTCCACTGTTGCCTCTCCACCTGCTGGGCTCACTGTGGTGTGTGTACCCATGGGGGAATTGCCAGGGGCTGGAGGGCTGGCCACCTGTCCCTGGGCTCTGCTCCTAGATGCCCCAACCCCATGGCCATCCACTCCAGGAGGGCACACACACAAACACAGAATTTCACTTGTAAATAGTTTGCACAGGGACGAGGGTATTTTACTGGTGGGTGGAGTGAGTGATGGAGGGGCTCTGGTGCTGGCAAGGGAGAGGGGAGAAGGGGTCTGTTGGATGTGAGGGGAATAAAACCTTAGATGTGTCTGCAGTGAGTGTGGTGCTGAGGGAAGGTGGTGGGGCAAGGGTCTGTGGGTAGCTGCCCAGGTGGACTACAGCATGCTACGAGAGAGTGCAGGCAGAGGTGGTTGGCCAGCATCTCTTGCACCTATGCTCTGGCCCCTGCTGGTGGGTGTGCAGCTCACCCAGGGCCTCAGCAGGGGGTGTGGTGCCACTGTCAGTGCTACCACAGCTGGTGCTCCCGCTGCCAGGTGTCCTTCACTCGCCATGCTTCCTCTCCCAGGTGTCATGAATCAGCTCTCCCTGGGCCTCATGGATGTTATGCAGCCCACAGGCCATGACAATGACCCAGGGGTTGTTGTCCTCAGCAAACTTGATATGGGCGGTGAGAGTGTGCCAGCATCCCTTGAGGCGGCTGAAGGTGCACTCCACCAGGGAATGGGTCAGTTAAAATGGGCCTGGTGGAGGTCCAGGTGACTGGTGTAGGGCCACACGGGCAGGACAGGAGTGGGTAGGTGGGGTCCCCAGTGAGGAGGGGCAGGACCACCATGGCACCCAGCTGCTGGTCTGGCACCTCTGGTGCAAAGTGCCTGCTCTGCACCAGGCCTGGCAGGGCGGAGTTGCTAAACATGCAGGTGTCGTGGGCACTGCCTGCCCAGCTGGAACTCACGTTTGTGAAGGTGCCGCAGTGGTCAATGATGGCCTGGAGCACAATGGCGTGAAAGCCCCTCCAGCTGTAGTTGGGGCAGTCACCATGGGGTGGGCAGGTGATGGGGATGTGGGTCCAATCCAAGCCATCTGGATTAGATGAGCAGGCATTCACTGCATGTGTGGGAGCCAGTAGGGCCCAGATGGCCATGGGCCAGCCAGAAGTTGGTGCAGCAGGCATCAGGGCTGGTGAGGTGGCCAGCAGGAGCCTAGGGCACTGGGCATCAATGCCAGGGGCAGGGCTGGAGCAGCCATGGCACAGGGGTGCAGAGGTGGCAATGAGAGAGCTGCCATGTGCTGCCCCTGCACTGTACATGCTGCTCCTGGCCAGGGAAGTTGCTGGCCAGGAAGCAGAGAGCGGGGCTGGCTTTTCAAGATGGCTGCTGCTGCTGGCAGCTGCAGCTGAAGCCTTGAGCTCCCCCCTGGTGGGGGTAGGGGCCCATTGCGGAGCCACAGGAAGCAGAAGCCGTTTGCTGCTAGGAGCAGTAAATTTGGTCCCATGTCCCTACATGTGTAGACACCTGCCAGGGAGCATTTACTTGTGAGTAATTTACTCACAAGTAAACTGATCTCAAATCAAATGCATGTGTAGATGCACCCAGTAAGTCCTAAGTTACGTTTACAGAACATCTCCTGCTTCTCTCTGTTGCTTGTCCTTTGAGAAAAGGGGATGAATTAGTTTCTCTAAAATGAATAATACATTTTTAAAAGAATGTTTAATATCTCAGGTCAGGTATGTGACACAGTGGGATGCAGTTCAGGAGCATGGGCAGCTGTATCTGTCCCTGACGGCTATGGAGACTTCTGAAGGTAGTAGCCATTCAAACAAGAACATATAGGAGCCAGTAAGAGTGGCTAGTGGGAATGCACAGTGCAATTTAACTTGGTAATAACTGGGTCGGGATATGTAAACTTCACAGATAACTGATATTATTATAACTTTAAAAACGGAAGGAAGCTTCAGGCTATAGAGTTAGTAATTGTACCTCATTCCACTATGTTGAAATAATGCCGTTAGATATCATTTAAATCCCTTTTTTATTTTATTACAGATTATTAAACTGATTATCACTTACGTGAAAGCCTCATTACACTTATTGGTCAGTGTAGGGGAACTTAAAGGGGGCATAAATTACTTATATGTTGGCTTTGAGTGTCCTTTATACTGCCAGAGCAAGGAAAAGTAGCACTGGTATATGTAAGAAACAGTCCTGTGCTACCACAGACATTGAACACGTTTGATTTTTGTTTACAACATGAGATACATTTCTCCAGTTTACAAACAGATGGCAGAAGGTGAAATATTGATACTTAACTGGAATTCCAGTTTTCCCAGCTTGACCAGACATTCCTTTTTTTCCGGTAGGACCCTGGAGATTTCAACAATTATGAATGACAAATGTGGTCACATAAAAGGAACCTCAATTTGTTTTTCTTTAGGGAGAGTTTTCATTGTCCAAATCTGGACCAGGCCCTAGAAGCATATTAATCGCTTCCATTTTCAGGGACCCACATAAGAATTACATGATGTAACTGTATACTACTATGTATTTTTCTTAAATGTTGTGTAAGATTTTAGATCATTTCAGCAATGCAAAGTAACTCTGGCTAATTTTCTCACCTTACCTAATATCACCATAATGAAATACTTTTTTCTATAGCACCTTCATTATCATTTAAAAATAAAATGAGTGGATGATAAGAAATGTGATCATACTGCATATATGCTGAAACATCTATATTATAAAGATACAATGTTATAAAACAAGGTTGTTGCTGTGGGGAACATTCCTTTTATCTGAGCTACAAACACAATACAGACAGTGAAATAAACTTCTTCAGCTTACATACATTTTATTAAGTTAAATCTAATACAGTATATATCCATTGAGTAATATGCACATACATATACACACACATATATAGATATAGATTTATATCTATATATTGATATATATCTATATTGATATATGTATGTATGTATGCATGTGTGTATGTATTACTTAATGTATATAAAGACACTGACTTAGCTATCTGAATGTTAATGTTAGGAATTACATTTTCAAAAATGCCTAAGTGACATAGAAGACTTAATGCCACTAAGTTTGAAAAGGCATGATGCAATTTTGAAAACTGTGCCCATAGTTCTTTTCATCCAAAGGAAAAGTTCCCCCAGTATATGATGAACTTTAAAAGCAATTATTGATGATGGTATATCCAAGGATCACTTCAAACATCCAAATATACAATCACCTCTGCATATAAAGTAACAGTGCACAGCATTATAGGGTAGATTGAGTAGAAAAGACCTTTTGAAGTTTTCTGGTTTAAATTATTTTTAACACACTTCCTGAAAGCAAATGCTAGTGAATTACCATACTGTACTACATTTAGCCTAATAAAATGTATGTAAACTGAAGACAAAAATAAATAAAAAATACACTATTCAATCAATGCAAGCACCATAAAAATAGCAATATACTGTCCCATTGTTTAATAACTTTTTAAACTAAAGTTATAGTTAGTACAAAACTTCCACCAATTAAAAGTGAAATCTGTACACTGAATACCTTATATTGCTTTCATTAACAGTTCAGAGTTTTAAAATTAAAGTATAAAAGTACCAGATTATAAAATTAAAATAGCAAAATTTAAAATTGTGACTGCCCAGTAAATTTTATTATAGCAGCAACAATTCACCCCAATGAAGCTGGGATTGTGTCAATAGTTTTGCTCTTGCATAAAACTTTAGGCCCGAAAATTTTGTTTCAGACTGGTATTACTTCCATTTTGGCAGACACAGATTTTAATCCAGGACCATTTTTGACTCGTGTAATGGAAATCTCCTTCTGAGAGTGGGCCATGCTATAACTACTTTTGTCCTATAGTGCTGTCAAAATCAATATGCCTGAGCTCATAGAAAAGATTTCACACTGGCACTGGTGTAATGATTTTAAATGATGCATTCACTTTTCACACTGGCTACTTTTACTGTTATGTTGATTGTCCCCCATTGATTAGTGGGACAAAACACTAATGGCACTTTTACATGTGCTCTAGGGTGAGGGGGTGGCGCTTTAATTAGAGCGTCTCCAAAAGCCGCTCTAATTAAAGAACTACTGTGTCTTGTGTATCAGCATCCCCACACTTAAAATGGGGGTAGAGGCACTTAAACTAAAGTATGTTCAACCCATTTATCCTATTTAAGTTGCAGCAAGAATAGTTCTTAGCAATCATCACTGTTGTTATTATTCTTACATTTTAAAAGTCAATAAAAAGCTTATGGCAGAACATGAAATACCTTTGGCAACTTTCAACATAGAATCAGAACAAAGAATTTTTTATGAAGGAAAAGATTTATATCTGACCCTTGACAGATCTTTTCTATCATGATTATTTTGTACCAAATTCCATATTTCCAGGCCTCAACCCAGTACACCTAATTTTGAATGCATATAATGTGATTATTTAGAAATTGGTGCTCTATAAACCTGGGTATTTGTCCAGGGCTAGTTTGTCAAGTGGATTTCCATTAAAGAATCTAAACAAGCATTATTCAAATATTACCAAAAAGAGGAAGAGATTCTTAAAAGTTTTATCCACTTCGTGGCAAAACCACTTCTCCATCAAAAGCATGTTTGCTACCTTTGATCATTTCAAAATACTGGAAATTTTCCATATATTTCATGATATTTTTTCCTTCATGTATGAAAGGAAACCAATATCTTTAGCCTCAATACCCATTTAATGGTATAAAGCTCTAACAATTTGTGCTGTGCTTTGAACTGCGTGCAAGCAATTTATCACATCTTTTCCCTATAAATCTACTTACTGGAAAAACAGTCCCAATATTACAAAATAGTATTTCTTTTACAAGAAAAATACAATATGACATTATTAGACACTGTTATATCAGTGCTAATTCCATACATGTATGTCATGTAGGAGCCAGATTGTAGTTGATCCTTGTGAGCTGAAAGAGATAGGAAAAGTGTGCAAGCAGCTCGCCCAAAGTACTCTTCCGGCTTCCCTGACAGCAATAACATAGTTAAGCAGCTTCAGAATGCTTTGTTCACAAGGACATTGCACCTTTGCATAGCTGCTATCTGAAACTAGTGCCTCAAAGGCACTCCAGTGTCTTTGGTGAATGTCTATTAACAATTTCCAGTATATTTGGAAATATTCATATAATAAAATATGGCCAAAGGAGACTTTCAACAAGTAATTGGGCCAAAATGCAACCAACTTCCAAAACGTGTGGCAGCTTGAACTTGGCTTATTTTGAAATTTAAAATATCTTTCAAAAAATAGAGTCCAGCAAAAAAGTGCCTTCTCAAAAGAGATATGAAGAGAAGAACTGTACCAAATTTGACTAGGATCATGCCAAAATCATGGAAGTCCTGTCATATCTATCTCTGTATAGATTTAGGTCTAGTCCTGTCATATCTATCTCTGTATAGATTTAGGTCTACTATGCTTTTGTTCATAAAGACTTTAACAAGACCTAGAGAATGCCAGTAAGTGGCTGGGAGTTTCAGATTTCACGTTAGAATAGAACTAAAGAAAAAGACAAATAGCACAGTTATCTTTCAGTGCAGTAATTAAGAATCCTACTTTGTTTTTAAAGAATGCCTTATGATTCTTCACTTTCTTGCTTTTTAAGATCAGTCATGGTTATGTTACAGCTGCAAGCACAAAAGGATTTCAATAAACTCCTGTCTACCTACTTCTGAACCTCTCTCTCCTTTTGGTCCTTGTTCTCCCAGTTCACCTGGTTCACCCTTTGAAAAAAGAAAGATACCAATTAATTCAGGATGGAGACAAATTATTTTTCAGTAGCAAACAGATAAATAAAATAAATGCATCTCACTGTTCAAAACACTTACTGGAGGCCCTTGTTGTCCAATAGCTCCTCTTAGTCCGGGAAGACCCACATGACCCTATGTACAGGGAAAGTAACATGTTACTAAGAGGTGACTATGGGCCCCTCTACACATGCAGGTAAAAGCAGATGGAATCCAATGCACAATCCACACAATCACACCTCCTACCACGTCAAATGTGCATGGCGAAGGTGAGATTGTGGGATCAAGCATTAGATCCCATCATGCCTTATTGCTGGTGCAGGGGGAGCCAATTCTAGCTCCATGCACACCTGGGGCTGGGAGATTATAGCAGCATACCACAGGTACTGGGACCCAGAGTCCACACCTGCCAGGTGCTGCTGAGGTTGAGAGTTCCCTCAGCTGCAGGACTCCCAGCCTTAGCTATGCATAGTGCCCCCCAGCAGATGGGAGCCTGGTCAGCTGACAAGGTCCCAGCCACAGGGGCAGATCCTGCTATACATGCAAATTAAAGGTGCAGAGCAACCAGCTATAAAGTTATTACACATTTTCCAGCAATGACTTACAAGCTGATTGGACCGTTTTATGGTGCAACAGTTAATTTGCATGTATAGCCTGTCTAAATTAAATGAAATCTGTAACATGTACAGGGGGCCTAACAGCATCAATCTCTGGTGAGTGAAATGCTTCCTTCTAAAGATCATTCCTGGGATGTGCCACATCGTCTCACTGACTTACCTTATTGAATCACACATTTAGTGGGCTTTTCTTCATTAGAATTCCTACTCAAAACTCACCACAAGAGGGAGTTACATATTGTTAAGCATTTATGCACTGTTTTGGACAGTGTATCATCTCTAGTTCACTAATTTATGTATTATTGTGGGTGATCTGTACTACCTGTGTAATTTAGGCAGGGGTCAGGAGCTGTATCTTTTTGAATTGCTGCTGCTTAATGAGACAATAACATTAGTAATTATAAGGAAGATTCATCACTGGGAGATTATAGTTTATTTGTGTATTTGGAAGATTGCATACAGCAAACATAAGTGTTAGGATGAGATTTACAAACTGCTGGTGCTTGCTAATGATGACAAAATTACTAGTTCAAACAATATGAATTTCCAATAGGAACTAGTTGATAAAAATGAGGCATCAGCCACTTAAATATGGTGCCTTTGGTTTGTGTATGCATTAGTGAGAATGGCAGTTTTCTTTTGGTGCATTATACTAACCAGATGTATAAAAAGCCACATTCAAATAAAATCAAAGCAAGAGATATTTACCTTGTAGCCCTCATCACCAGGTTCTCCTCTATCTCCATGTTCACCACTAGGACCCTAGAGACACAACCAAAGAATGTGGTGTAATAACTGACTTGAAATACTGCTGCAGTGGTGTGACAAATAAAATTTGGGGCTTCCCTTCAAAACAAATAGACTAACCATACAGAATTGAGGATTCCAAATACGCAGTGTCAAATTAGACAGCAACTTTAAATCCATAGACTAACAATGGACTTTTTCAAATTAAAATTGTATTACAGTAGGACAAAAAAAGTTTGCTGAAGAAAACCGGCAAAGCTCATGTGGATTTAAATCTGAAATAATTCTACTGAAGTCAATTAATTCTACTGAATTAATCCAGATACATGCCCATCTAAGTGAGATCAGAATGAAATCTGCAATGTCATTTGCTTTATTTAAAATGCAGAAGATTAGAGAAAGGTACAGTTTTCCTCATTAACGTGGAAAGGATAAATAAAAAACATGAGGTTCTCTTCTGAAATGACAAGGGGTATCTAAGTACATTTGGAACTGGATTGATACAGAATGTTTGGATATATTGCCTAGGAGAGGAAATCCTTAAGTTTAGAGCAAAGCCTTGTGTATGAGACCTCAACGGAGGGGAGGCAACAGGAGAGCCTCTACCTAAGCCACCAGTCACAGTAGCTGCATCACCTGCATCATCATCTGCTGATTCCACTTCAGGGGAAAGTCTAAACTCCCAGGTACTGCGTTCTTCCTCTGTAGGGTTAAGTGCCTTTAACTTTCATTGCAGCCAATGGACTAAATCTTGCTTCCATTAAATCAATGGGTGGAAAATCATACCCACTGGAGGCAAGGATGGTCAGCACCTCCCAGAAGGCACCCAGCCTTAAAAAGAACCAGCCTTTTCCGTGAAGCTGAAATACTAGCACATAAAGAAAGCAAAGATAGCTGTCCTCAAAAATTTATTAGGGGATCATTAGTTCATGAACCACCCCTATTCCTTGTTGGCTCATACAAACCACCCCTATTCCATGCCCATCACTGTTATCTGAGGCCCTGCCCCAAATGCTTCCTGGCATATGATCTTTCTGCAGAAAGATTCTGGGGAGCTCACTTGTAAGGCATACAGGGGACTGTGACATTCCCCTCAGCTGAGTCTCCCTTTTCCTTGCATTTCCACTTAATTTTGAACCTTATGAAGAAGCCACACCCGGCTCCTAACTGGAATTCCAGATGGGATGGAGTGCCTCTGCTTACAGAGTTTTTAGTTTGTTAGTTCTACAGAGACAGCACAGCCATGGGTTGGGTTATTTCCTGGCTTATGCATCATCATAAGCATTGTTAACTAAGTTCCATCTGACGATCCATGCTTTGGTTTCTTTTACATCTTGAAACATTGCTGCCTTCAAGTCATGCTCTTTGGCTTGTCAGAGGTGTAAATAATGGCAGAGGACAAGCACAATTAGTTTGCATAAAGTTGTGTAACTGATGGTGGAATCAGCCCCTGAATGTGAAACACACCCCTGGCAGACATTCAGTTAAAGGCATGCTGGGATCTATCTGATCCATGATCCCAACAGTCATGTTTCCTGCCATGCCACACATGCAGATCAGATCCCAATCACGCCCTATTACCAGCATAAGGTGAGCCACAGGACAGCACTGGAGCCCTTGGCTCCTGTGTGTTTCTGTGGTTGGGAGCACTGATCAGCTGACTGGCATTCCCAACCTTGGGAGCGCACCTAAGACTTGAGGCTCTGGTGTGCTCCCAAGGCTGGGAGCAGCAACAAGTCCTTAAGTGTGATGATAACTGGCCAAAGTTACTGCACATATTTTGTGTAATGACTTTGTGGCTGTTTTATCATACAATTAATTACAAGAATGTGTGTATGGGTTACTACTTAAGATGTGATTAACTGGTGAATCATGTCTTGAGTGTAATGTCTTCCAGGGCCTCATTTAACAAGGGTTTGGGAGGATTTTAATTATTTGGATATGTTCCTAATTGTTGTAAATGGTTGCTGATAGTGCACACACTATTTTAATAAATCAACAGTTACAGAACTCACCCGTTCACAGCTGTTAGGGGGTAGTAAAGCAAGCAGATACAGTTTGGAATAAACAAAGGAGGTCAAATGATGTTCTAGTCTAAACACAGAATTTAGCTTAATTTAACACTGTGTGTTGAGCTGCTGAGTGAAGAGTTGTGTACACAGTTACTTTTAAGAGCAGATTTTACTTTCAGGATTATTTTTAATGACACCAGGTTCTACATTTTTCTGCAAGGAAGTGACCCCAGACTGCTGAGGCAATTTTAGACCATTTATTTGTCTACTTCTCTTGTCTTGAAACACTAATATAACTTTCTTGAAAAAGAAAGACCTACTGGTTCACCTATGGGCCCAGGTAGTCCCAGTACTGTGTTGTCTTCACCTGGGTAACCCTAGAAGGGAAATAATTGTTAAAACTTTAATAATGATTTTTTCTTCATTAAGTATAAATATTTTAATACAGTCTGAATTTATCTTGAATATGAAGGAAAATAAATATTTTACACATTGCACATACATATGCATTTATAGACAATACAGCAATTGACTGCAATTGGTGGTAGTAATTGCTAAGATTAAGGCTGCAGTTTTTATGACAACCCAGTACTTTTACTCATACCACACTTTCGAAAACACTCACATTTGGGCTGAAAAATTACATGCTTCCTAAAGGCATTAAAGTCAATAGTGCTGCTTGGTACTACAAAAGGTGTTTGCAGAATGGAGAACTACTGATTTAAAACCTGAAGCATTTCATTAGAATAATTCATAGCTTCATCCCAGGTTTATACTTGTTCTCATATTTTAACAAAGGGTGTCACATTTCAACACAAAACCTTTTGATGGTGATGGAAATAGAAAGGCTGTGAAATATTGCTTTGAAAAAGGCACTGATAATATGTGAATGGGCAGTAACACTTCCACAATTTACAGTCATTAGGATTGTAAGGATCTAGAACCCATCTCCATACCTTTTCTCCTTTGGGGCCTGGAGGGCCAGGTGGTCCTGGTAGACCCTTGTGACCCTAAAAAATAAAAAGAAACAACTAATTACAGGATTTCATATATTACCTATGTATTATGTTTTGCTCCATAGCCACTACTTTGACATATAGGTTAGGGACAGACATTCAAGAAGCCTGAGCCTAAATTAATTAAATCTTTGCAGGTTAGTCTAACCTGACTAGGCTGAACTGGTTTGTAACTGGAGAGACATCCCAGACATGCAGGCACATGCCTGCAGTGGCTCAGGCTAGAAGTGGTGGGGGGGTGCCAGAGCCCTCCCATCCCTTCCATAGCACTGAGCTGTGTGAGGATGGGGGGGCATGGCCAGACCCCTGCAGGATGCTCTGATTAGCACCAGAAGGGAACTGATAACAGTGTTTATCACCCCCTAACTCACCCCATTAAGAAAACAATTGAGGGATGTTACCAGTTACCTATTGATTCTGCCGGGACCATAGCCAGCATGTGGTCTGCTAGCTAATATACAGACACCTCCTCAGCAAGGCAGAGAGGAGGGGGAAATTCCTGTTTAACAGGGAGTGGTGAGGGGAAGCAGCCTGCAGTCTGTGCCGGAGCAGCAGCCAGTGAGCAGAGGGGAGGGGCCAGCTCTGCTGTGGAACAGAGAGCCCCACCCAACCCAAAGAGGATGACGGGATGCTAGGGGAGTCTGGTTTATCTTAAACCAGCAAGGGGTCTGGGACAGACATTACATAAACTGGTTTGAGCCAAATCAGTTAAGTCTGATACTACATTCAACCAGGTTTATCTCAAACCGGTTTCAGCCATTTTATGTGCACTGAACATCTGTTCTGTTACAGGTTTAAACCAGTTTCTGATCACTTAAACTGGTTTATGTTTCATGTCTGTCCCTAGCCATAAGTTTTGGCCCTGGTCTGCTTTTGTGTACAAAGAGACCTCCCCCTTCAGAGGTCCAAGGTCTTCCATAGGGCTCTTTGTAGGCAAAAGCATCTCATGTGGTTTCCAGTGCAGATTTGGTACATTAGTTTGCAGTTAATATTTGAAAAAAAGATGTGATGTGTCAATAGGGGACAGCAGGATCCACCTGTATTTTTCATACATTGCACTACTTTAGAATCCAATAATTATTTTTTGACATGAGCCACAAATGACCTGTGACTGTTTACTAACCTCATTAAATCAGAAAGTTGCAAGCTTTGTTACTGAATGGGCAAGTGACCATCTAATCAGCAGATATTAAATTAGTTCTTGGAAACTGTTCTTTATAATCATTATTCAGGTAAATAGCACTTTCTTAGTGGTGCAGTTATCTTGAGTGCAATGGAATTCTTGGCATGAGCAAAGAATTCCAGATTGGGCCTCAATGCAAGGGAAATGATTGCATATGACACTTCATTCATTATCATGCCATCAAGATTAAGCTTTTGGAGCACTTGAATTAAAATTTAGTTTTTATGTCACCTAGTTAGAAATTTATTTATTCTTAATACATTAGCTTTCCAGCTAAATATGAGATTATTGGAAATACAGTGAAAGTATTCATATTATAGATGTACACATGTGTATCTAGCTAGATCCATGTCTGTTTATGAATTCAGTAATAAGCTCACCTCATAACCTGGAATTCCTGGCTCTCCTTCAGGTCCCATTACTCCTAAATGTCCCTGTTAATAAACAGCAGTAGAGGAATAAATACACTCTTTTAAGATATTGTGACAACAAATGCTTTTTAAAAAATGTGTATATTTTTAAAAGGAACCTTTATTGTTTAAAACACCAGACTTTGAAAATGAACCCTCTTTACCTCTATTAGTTACATGATGCTGTTCTTCTGTTTACTACAGAAACATACAGTCAAACATGTTCCAACCTGGGTGCCTGATATGAGGTTCCCAAATCCATATTTAGGCACTTAAAGGAGAGTATCTAATTTTAAAAGTGCTGAAGACCTCAAATCCATGCAGCAGTTAATGTAAGCTGCAAGTGCTCATCATGTTTGAAAACCAGGAGCCTAAATGGGGATTTAGACTCTTTAGTTTAGGTGACCATATTTCAAAATGTTGGCCGCTAGCAATGTATTTGTTTAGTTCACTCCTCCTGTGTGCAGATACACTTTACTTCAGTGGCATTACCATGTATTTCCAAGACTTTCATCAGGGTGTAGAACAGGATTTGGCACTAGGATGCTCAGATTTGTGGGTTGTTAGACATAGTTTCCTCTTTGTACAGAGAAAGTTTGATTTGTGGTCTAACAAGTTTAAGGTGGTCAGTTATAAATATCCTTCATTAACACATTCAGTGCATAGGTTAGGCCAGGATTTAGGGTAACTCTGTGTGATGACAATAGGCAGAGCAGAATTAGACAGTTAGACAATCAGTGAGAACTGCCAGTCTGTTCCAGCAACCTCACCAAACGAATTCTCTTTCATACACTAAACAGAGATCTGTCTATTCCCTTATATGAGAGATGCTATGCCTCTACACTGGAAATATTACTTCTTAAAATAAACATGTACTGCACTAACCAATGGACCTCTAGTTCCTCTTGCACCTTTAGGACCAATTTCTCCAGGTTGGCCAGGATCTCCTGGGAGTCCAGTCTCTCCTGAGGGTCCTAGCTGGCCCTTCTCCCCCTGCAGGAGTTATTTTATTAAAAGAAATCAGTAGAGAGAAAGAAATAGTTCAAATACCAGTTTATATTTAACAAACGACTGGGATTTACTATTATTCAAAAAGAATATATATTTTTTCAAATATTTTTATCCTTTAACAGTACTTTTTAAAAACAATGCAACTAGAATGAAGATGATTATACTGATAATTCACCACAGTTTTCTAGATATTTCTTTTGTTTTAACCAAAGCTTTATATTTTTATAGTACAACTCATTAGCCTGAACTGCAAAATTCACATCCAGATCCTGATGTAAATTTCCCCAGTACTTTAAGAGGCCGGGTATAATGGTTCAGGCTCCTATCTATTACAATAATAATAACTGGGGCTTGTGACAAAAAAACTTTGTCTAGTTTTAGGGCAAAGTGAGAGATGAGATGCAGAGTGCTTGTTTTATGCTAAGTCTTAACATGTTTGAGTCTGTAGCATGAAGCTAAGAGTAAGGCAGCAAAAACTTTCTGTGACCTAGGATCCATCATCACCAAGTGATTTTAAAAAATTCTTTTTTTAATACTAATTCACATCACAGACAAAAAGGAAGGAAGGAAAACAGGAAAGATGAAAAAGACATTACCTTTTTCCCTGGACGACCTCTTTGACCTGGATTTCCTGGAGTACCTTCTGGACCCTGCATATTTGTCATGGAGGGAGAAACAGATGTTCAAACAGGACTCCAAAATATGTCTACACTTTACTTCAAATTGGACATTCTAAGTGCGGCTTTTATGTCTTAGAAATGTGGGTGGAAAAATATCATTAACCTTGTCTGTGACCAAATTCTAACAGGGTATATCATGTCAGAGAACAATGAAGTAAATAAGTACCCGCTTTTACCAAACCAGTGAAAAAGTGCTGAAACAGCAAAATACTTGTCTGGAAAGAAAATGTTATGGCAGGAATAAAATTCTTTCAAATCATTCCTTCAAATCATCTCACTAGTGAAGTACAATACTGAGGCAGGGGAAAACAAAATTGGGAACATAAGGGTCCATAGTTAAAAGAAGCCCTAGTGAGAACAGTCATCTTCATACAGATCTCACTGTAGGACTAGATGCCAGGCAACATTATCCACAACACCTTGCTGCCAATCAGCTAGCAATCCTGACTGGGGGCCAACAAGGGAGAACCTGAACCTTAGACCTATGCTCCGCTCTCAGCTATTCAGATAACTTCAAAACACTATCTCACAAAAGCATGAGGTGCCAGGATCTCACTCAGCAGTTTGTCATTTCACTTTAGCTAGAAAGCCCAACGATTAAAGCTGACTGCCTGTGGGGAGAGAAGGTTAGGTTTCTTCTTTTAGACGAGATGAAAAAATGGTCATGAATATCCAGGACCAATGTAAATTAAAGCCATCTTTCACTTCCGTCTTTTTTGTTTAGACGCGACTCCAAAATGAAACTGTTGTTTTGAGGTTTGAGGGTGTTAATCTATTAGTCTGAATTTTATGTCTTGTTCTCATTCCTATAATGAAGCCAAATTAACATCCACACTCTAAAACAGTTTCCAAAACATACCAGAGGCACACTTATTTTCTGTATTAAAATTGGCAGCACATATCACTGTTACATTCAGGAAAGAGTGTGTGCATGGGCATGCACAACCAAGAATGCAGGCTGGCGGGGGCATTTTGCAGGTGTCCAGTCCTGGTGCCACTGCTGCTTCTCTCAGCCCCCAGCTGTGATATGCATGCAGCTTCCAGCCACTGAGGAGCTGTGCCAGGATGAGACATTTGCAAATTGCCACTGTTGCACTCTGCAAATGTGGCCTCACCATGCTCTACTTTGTGGTCGGCCCTGAACACATGCTGTGCCCCCCAGCTTAACACACAAAAAGGAAAAAAGAAAACTATAATTTTTCATGGCACACTGTTCCCACTCTCATGGCACACCCTTTGGGAATCACTGCTCCAAACACTAAGAGAATTTTAGGAAGTGCATACAGGGAAGGAAACAGTGTATTGTGATGGCCTTTGAAAGATGGAGATGAGCAAATGAAGAATCTTCAGCTAAACCACATTCTCCAGACAGGTATGCTGAGTACAGCCAATCAAAAAGCCTGAGGCTGAATTGATTCAATCTTTGCAGGTTAGTTTAAGTTGCAAAGATTGAACCAATAAGCAAATGAACAGACATTCACTTTTGATTCAGAAAATGCAGCCACATGCCTGCAGGGGCTCAAGCCAGAAGCCCGGGGGGCTCTGGAGCATGGCTCTCTGGGATGAAGCCAGCATGGACTGTGGGTTTGCTTCCTCTTCCTGCTGCCCCAGAGGTCTCTGGGATTTGCAGTCCAGACTCACAGAAGCAGGACTCTGCAGGGTAGCTCATCATTTCCTCTTCTTACTTCCAGGTACCTCTGGAATTTGTTGACCACAGTTGCAGCCAGCAGTAAGCAAGCAGGCAGGGCAGCTCCATACTCAGGGGAAGGGAAGTTTAACCCCTCTCCCAGGGCTGTAACATGCTGGGACGCTGGGGGACTCTGATTTAATTTGAACCAGGAAGGGGTCTGGGACAGAAGTTGCATAAACTGGTTTGACCTAAACCAGTTAATCATTTACATTCAACCAGGTTTATCTTAAACTAGTTTCAGCCTTTTTGAAACTGGTTTATGTACACTGAACTTCTATTCTGTTACAGGTTTAAACCAGTTTCTGATCACTTAAACCGGTTTTGTGTAACTTCTGCCCCTAGCAGTAATCGTTAAATTTGTCTAGTTTACTGAGGCACAACAGGACTTTGCTGACAATTAAATTATACAATATTAACATATGCTGAAGCTCCATTACATGGGGGACTAGTTCAATATTTTAAGCAGTGCAAAAATAGGACATTTAAAGTGTTCAAGATTCTTCAACAGTGTGCTACTGCTGGAACACAAGTTAAACTTATTTGGTTCTTTAACCTATCATAGCTGGAGAGCACAGCATGGAGGGCACAGTGTATTTTCTTTCATTTGGTTCCAAATTATAGGTGCCAAAAGAATCCTTGAGGGATGCAGATCACGCCCAGTAGCCCTTCAGAGGACACAGTGCTTGAAGACAGTACTTGCATTCTTTAACAGCTTGCCCTCCAAATCTATGTTTACTTAGAAGCCATGCTTCACTGAAACAGGAAGATTTAAGGGAGGAAAATATCATGAGAATGAGAATGCAATTTTTTTAGTAAGGGAAGATATCTATGCTCTAAAAAGCCAGTTTTAGTTGCATTTCATTTCTAAAAAAGTAGATTGAACAAGTAAATTTTAGTTCCTGGGCATGAAATTGCATAGGAGAATATTCACTGTTTGTCACAATCTTCATCATTTGACACACTTGCCAGGTAAGAGATGATTTTTTTTTTAAAAGGTGCTATAATTTGACTGACATTCTACTTGAATAAGCCATTTTGATGCCCTATTTTAGCTATCTGTAGCTCCTTACAGCAGTGTAATGTTTGGATACACTTTAACTTTTACTGAAGTGTTAAAGTGTAATCCTATTTTCAGATAGATTTAGATGTACTTCTTTTACACCCCTTCCTTGGGTTCACCTTCTCCATCACATCAAACAAACTGCTTGTCTTTACTCTAAAGGCGTTCAGGGCCTATCTTTACTTGATGTATCATTTTTCATACATTACTGAGTGATTAACTCCTGCCTTAAATGGGCCCATGTATGGTAGTTGGAACTCCCTGACCAGCCACAGTGCTGGTTTCCCCACTTGCCTCTGAGCATGCTGCCCACCTGTCTTGCCTACCATGCCTTGTTGTAATTAATTATATTGTTAATTAAGGCAGGAGGCTGCCCATTTCTTGTCCTGATGCCAGGGGGCGCTATCTGCAGCTCCATTCCTCCCCTACACTGCAGCCCAAGCCTTGCAGATGGCATCCAGGTGATAATGCTCCTGGCCTACAGCTGGACCAAGCTTAGCCCTCCTTGTCAGGCCACAGACGCATGCACATTCATACCGCCCTCCTCTCACTAGGGCCTCACACACTCCACTCCCTCTCACAGGGTCTCTTTCACAAATCGACAACTTATACTGCCTTGCTCCCTCTTCGAGCAGGCCTTTTCGGCCCATAGGCTTTAGCTAGCTCATACCTTGGGTGGCAGACATACCATGTTTTGGGTCTCTCCCGCGACCCTCAGCAAGTAGTGGCCAGCCAATTACCCAACCGGGTCCAAGCTTGCCCTGGCCCCTCCCGGGGAAACTCTATACATTCAGACATACTGGGCTCCCAGCCCTCTGGTTTTCTCCCCCCACTGGGGCCTCTCATCTTTGCTCCCACACTGTGGCTCCACACCACCCCCGCACTGGGGCTGCGGGGCTTCCTTCCCTGGTGGGCTCAGGTGGCCGCAGCCATGCCTGGCCCCAACTATCTTCAATGTTAGATGACACACCCGAAGGTGAGCACTGGGGTTAAGGTGCCCCTACTCACCTTTCACCGGGGTGGTAACTGGCCTGGCATTTCCTGGGGGCTCCCGTGCCACTGAGAGCCCCACCATGTCACCCACTCCTGACAGGGTGCAGTTTTAGGTCATGCCCAGGACCAGGAGCCCCCAACCCATCCCCTACAGCTTCTGCCCTTACCTCCAGGATGTTGCATGCAGCCTTGCAGCCAGGTGATTTTACTGGCTCACCTGCCAGCAGGGAACTGCTCTGTTTATATAGGCAGACAGAGATCTAAAATGGCCACCGCAATCAAGCACCTGCTGGCTGCTTTGCTTTGCTCTTGAAGTGGTAGGCACCAACAGTGCCCTGTCACACTCCTCCCCCCTGAATATAGTTCCTGGGGGAGGTTTCCCCTGCTGCTCTGCCAAAGCAGGCTCCTCTCAGAGCCTGTGAAAGCCCTCAAGTGGCAAGCACACCCAAAGGTGCTTCACCACACAATAATATCAGCAAACATTATCCTTTACCTAGATGTTTCTTGTGCTTCCTGCCTGTTGGAAACACCTGGAAAGCTACTTGGACAGGACAGGACTGAACATCTGGATTGTGTTCCTTCTAATTCTCCTTTGCCACAATGCCTACAAAGATGCCACGATGCCTACACAATGCCTACATTGTGTACCTTGACTTCCAAAAGGCCTTTGATCTGGTATCCCATGATGTTCTTACTGGTATCCCATGAAGTTCTCATAGGCAAATTGGAGGATTGCAGGCTTGACTGATCAACAGTTAGGTGGGTACAAAGCTGGCTGCAGGGTAGGACCCAGGGAGTTCCAATGAATAGATCTGTGTTGTCCTGGCGAGAAGTAGCCAGTGGTGTCCCGGAGGGGTCAGTGCTTGGTCCAGTTCTTTTCAACATCTTTATCAATGATTTGGATGTTGGAGTGAAGAGCTCACTGGCCAAGTTTGCAAATGACACCAAGTTATGGGGGAGGGTGGTCACCCTTGAAGATAGACTGCAGATACAGACAGACCTGGACAGGCTGGCAAGTTGGGCGGATCGGAGCCAGATGAAGTTCAACATTGAGAGGTGTAAAGTGCTTCATCTGGGGATGAACAATCCTCAATATACTTAGGTACCTACTAGGCACTATATGATAGCAATGCAAATAAGCTAAGATTTGCATTCACTATTACTTTACTGCCTCCATTTTTTATTTTCTGCTTTTTCTGCTTGCTTCTACCCTTGTAAGACTGACTTTTAGCTAGAAGCTGCTTTCTTCTGCAAGAAAAAATAAGCCATAGAGCTGACCTGGCAATGTCAGCAGTGGACACCAATGTTACTTTTGGGCTTCTTGGCACAAGCTGTTTGTGGACCCAAGAGACCATCTCTTAACATTTGCACTTCCATTTTAGTCAGGTAGGGGAATGTGAGATCTCATGGGATGTTTATTTAATTATTTTCATTAGCACCTAACACTGGGACTGGCTCTGAAGTGGAGTTAGCAAGGCACAGCATAGAAAAAATGTTTAAAAAGAATGAAAACATTTAAAACAAAGGTTGTATCAAAAATAAAATTAGCTTTCAATGCATAAATAACAAGTACAACTCTAAATATTTTGTATCTTTTGTTAATGGTTTTCAAATTGGATTTTTTCCAGTTAAGAATAAAAAAATAGAAAACAAAGGCCCTTTTCACTTTTATTTAAAAAAGTCTTATTTCTCCTTATACAAATACAGTGCTATTTCTCACTGAAGGAGGCATAATGATGAGGTTAACAGAGGTCCACATGGGCATAACTAAGTTAACAGCAAGTCTCCTATAAAAATATTTGTTGCTGTTTTCCATGAAATTAACAACAAGAAATGCAGTAATCATATATTTGGTAGATGCCTAACAGCCTACTCTAGGTCTCAACTACTTTCAGAATGGAGGGCAGCCAACATCACTCCATGTAACCTTGCTGACAACTCAGAAGGACTGCTTCAAGAAGAAAGGGATAGCCAAACACCTGTTTACACCTTAGCTCTTCTAGTGATGTTAGATGCAGCAGTGTTAAAGTTGGAGTAGTTTTTACTACTTTGATATCCATCCTGGCTTGTCCATACCTAACAATTAGGAAGTAACAGCTGCTGCCCTTTTGAAATATCTCCAAACGTACATTAGGGCTGTGCGAAGCTTTGGTTGCTGATTCGATTCAGCGGAGATTTGGCCTGATTCGGCGGAGGCTGAATCTCCAAATCCAAATTGAATCTTGAGATCCTTTAATCTTTCCGAATTGAATTGGAACCCTCCAAATTGATTTGGAGAGATTTGATGATTCAGACATAGACACAGCTTTAAATGTTTTTTCTACATACCTCAAGGTACCAGGAGGCTTGTGAATGCTGAGATGCTGGGGGTGGATGGAGAGTCCCATGGGAGCATGGGAGAGTCCCCTGCATGCTCAGCAGTGGACCCGGGTCTGCTGTGGAGCATGCAGGGGACCCCCCCACCCCGCCTGCTTGGCAACTGGTGCCTCCTGGGTCTGGGGGGGCACCTGGGGTCCCCCCGTTGCTAACTGCCAAGCCGGAGAGGGTGGGGGGGCGGAGGGGAGCGGGGACTCCCCACACACTCAGAGGTGGACCCAGAGGTGGACTGGAAGTGCTTCTAGTTCACTTCCAAGTCCACCACTAAGCATGCGAGGGGGGCCCTCCGCACTCCTGTGGGACTCTTCTTCCGCCCCATCACGAGCCACGCCTGCTATCTTGAGGTATGTAGAAAAAACATTTAAGTCTGTGTCTATGGCCTAATCACTGGTTTTCTGAATCAGCATCGAATCTTTAGTTTCGGATTCAATCAAATTGAATTGGGACAGTGATCCAAATCAACGAATTGAATCACTGTCCCTGATTTGGGCCGAATACAAAACTGAATCAAATATGGCCTGTTTCACACACCCCTAATATACATGTGTCCATGCCCTGAGACAGGCTTCACACCAAGAGCAACTGGATTAGAATCACAACTGGCTTCATATAGGCCCCTCAATAGCCATCATGCAATAATGATTTTCAGATAATTCCAACCTGCTCTGGATTCAGTAGCCTAAATGGGAAAAGCTCCAGATCCCACACACAACACTGGGAAATCTAGTACTGCTGGTATCTCTGGTGCAATTGTGTGGATAAATAGGGCACAATTCAATCTCCAGGCTCTCACCTTTTGCATGCGTTACACTCTTTTGCAGAGGCAAGAATTTATTTGGGTGATATCTTTTATTGGACCATCTGTATAGTTGATTAAAGTTAGACAAGCTTCTGAATGCAAGACATTCTTCTTCAGGTCTGAGCTCTTTTGCAGAGCTCTTTTAGACTGTCAAGGATGACAATAAACAGGGGACCCAGGTAAGAGATATATGCCATAGAAAACAATGAAAAACCATAAGGTGGAACTTATTGCAAATTATATATTTTGTTAGTTCCTTAAAGTTACTCAATACATTGAACTTGATGACAGTATACAAATGAAGGCTGGGACTGAGGCCAGTGACTGAACTTTAACTGAGGACATATTTGAAGTAGGAGACTTCAAGCTGTACAGTACATGAAGTCAGGTGGACAATCATAAACATAAGGGAGAAACATTGAGGAATCAAAATCTCAAAGAAGTTTTATGTTTAAGAAATGAATGACACAGTTCTCTTCTTATAGATGTATTAAACATTGAAAAGCTGCAGGGCTGGGAAATGAGCTCATTCAAAGTTCTTTTCTGTTTGTAAGAAGTAACACTCAACTTAGCTGTAATACTCACTGGAGTGCCCATTATGCCAGGTTCACCAGGGGGACCTGTAATTCCCGGTATTCCTGTTTCTCCTTTTTCACCATCCTCTCCAGCTTGTCCTCGGTCTCCAGAATCACCCTACAGATTTACAGAAATATAAATTAAGCCCCAAAGGAACTGTTCATTTATTCTGCAATATGTTGCTCAAGTTCCTTTTCACTCTGCTTACCCCCAGGCCTGATCTAAAGAATATTAAAGCCAAGAAGAGTCTTTCTAGTAACTTCAGTTTGTTTTGGATCAGAGTGTAAGCTAGCATCAATACTTTTTTATTCTGTTCGAATTGCCCTCTTAGGCTAGGAACAGACATTACACATAAGCCAGTTTAAGTGATCAGAAACTGGTTTAAACCTGTGACAGAACAGACATTCAGTGTACACAAACCAGTTTCAAAATGGCCAAGACTGGTTTGAGATAAACCTGGTTGAATGTAGCATCAGACTTAACTGATTTGGATCAAACCGGTTTATGCAATGTCTGTCCCAGACCCCTTGCTGGTTTAAGATAAACCAGACACTCCCAGCATCCTGAATGCTCTCTGGGCTGGGCGGGGCTCTCTGCTCCAGCCCCAGGTCTTACCCCACTCCTCTGCTCTCTAGCCAGAGCAGAGACTGTATTTTAAATAATCTCATTTTTAGTTGGAAACCCAGGGCTGACCCTGCCCCAGGGACTGGCCCTACAAGAGACAGTGGCCGGCATGGCTCTGTTAAGGCAAAATGGGCAGGGAGGGGGTTAATTCTTCCCTCCTTCCCCTCTTCCCCCACTGCAGCTGTGGTCAGCCTGTCTGCTGGAGAGCAGAGGGGAGGGGGCTGCAGTGGTGGCCCCTGGAGCTGGCAGACCCCAGCTGCAGGGAAGGGAGGAGGGAAGAATTAACCCTTCTCCCTGCCCCCCTCACTTTAATGGGGCCAGGGTGGGGAGGGGGGCTCTGTGAAGTGCTAGATGGGAACTCTTCCTCATCCTCCCCTTCCTCCCATTACTGCAGGGCTGGGGTGGCGGGGCTCCATGTGATGCGGCCTGGCTGGGGGTTGGGGGGTTGGGGGAGGCTCTGTTCCATGCTGGGGGAAACTCTTCCCCCTTCTCTTCCTCTCCCCAAAGGGGCAGCGGGAGTGTCGAGCTCAGCTTGGCATGGTGTGGTTGTGTGGGGTGTGAGGGAGGCTGGGGGGGTGTAGAGACCCCCACACACTCCCCCCAAGGCATGCAGCCCCCACTTCTTGGCAGGA